TTTATTAATCATAGAATCATAGAATAATAGGACTGGAAGGGACCTCGAGAGGTCATCGAGTCCAGCCCCCCGCCCTCAAGGCAGGATCAAGCTCTGTCTACACCATCCCTGACAGATGTCTATCTAACCTGTTCTTAAATATCTCCAGAGAGGGAGATTCCACCACCTCCCTTGGCAATTTATTCCAATATTTGACCACCCTGACAGTTAGGAATTTTTTCCTAATGTCCAATCTAAACCTCCCCTGCTGCACTTTAAGCCCATTACTCCTTGTCCTGTCCTCAGAAACCAAGAGGAACAAATTTTCTCCTTCCTCCTTGTGACACCCTTTTAGATATTTGAAAACCGCTATCATGTCCCCCCTTAATCTTCTTTTTTCCAAACTAAACAAGCCCAGTTCATGAAGCCTGGCTTCATAGGTCATGTTCTCTAGACCTTTAATCATTCTTGTTGCTCTTCTCTGTACCCTTTCCAATTTCTCCACATCTTTCTTGAAATGTGGCGTCCAGAACTGGACACAGTACTCCAGCTGAGGCCTAACTAGTGCAGAGTAGAGCGGCAGAATGACTTCACGAGTTTTGCTTACAACACACCTGTTGATACAACCTAGAATCATATTTGCTTTTTTTGCAACAGCATCACACTGTTGACTCATATTCAACTTGTGGTCCACTATGACCCCTAGATCCCTTTCCGCTATGCTCCTTCTTAGATAGTCGCTTCCCATCTTGTATGTATGGAACTGATTGTTCCTTCCTAAGTGGAGCACTTTGCATTTCTCTTTATTAAACCTCATCCTGTTTACCTCTGACCATTTCTCTAACTTGCTAAGGTCGTTTTGAATTATGTCCCTATCCTCCAAAGAAGTTGCAATCCCACCCAGTTTGGTATCATCTGCAAACTTAATAAGCGTACTCTCTATCCCAATATCTACATCATTGATGAAGATATTGAACAGTACGGGTCCCAAAACAGACCCTTGAGGAACTCCACTTGTTATCCCTTTCCAGCAGGATTTAGAACCGTTAACAACAACTCTCTGACTACGGTTATCCAGCCAATTATGCACCATGGTGTTAGTACCATTCAGTAGAAGCTCATAGAACACACCACTGCTACCAGATATGATTGTCAGTCATTGCTTCTTTCCTCCAGCTCTTAATGGGGGAGGGATAGCTCAGTGGTTTGAGCATTTGGCCTGCTAAACCCAGGGTTGTGAGTTCAATCCTTGAGGGAGCTATTTAGGGATCTGGGGCAAATTTGTCAGGGATGGTACTTGGTCCTGCCATGGGGGCAGGGGACTGGACTTGATGACCTCTCAAGATCCCTTCCAGTTCTAGGAGATTGGTATATCTCCATATATTTTATAATATTCTAGCCAATGAGGTAGTTGTGGTGATTCTAGAAACGAGCTTCTGTGTTAAGTTGAGTGAGAGGAGATTGTGATATTTGAAAGGCTGATGCAGTCGTCATTGTAGAGAGAGGAGCCTCACAGGGGCTATGTGAGTGAATGGCACTTGTGATGCTACAGAATGAAACACTCCAATGATAAGCTATTTCCAGAGGCAGCATTCTCTGCTGGTTTCATCCTCCTCTCCCCTTCTTCAGCTCATCCTCTTTGGGCTCAGCAATCAGATGGTGGTGACATTCAAGGAGGAGAATACCATTGCTTTCAAACACCTGTTTCTGAAGGACTATGTGGATGGGTCAGAGGACACATATGCTGTCTATACTCAGAGAGACCTCTATGATCACATGTTCTATGCTGTGGATAAGGTGAGAGGAAAGCACTGGGGTCGTGGGAGCCATAGGCAGGCTGGTAGAGTCTTGTGTGAATACAAAATTTGTATTTACTTATGACCTGCAAATGTGGCATGCAGATATCTGTGGCTATCTGGATTTTCAGGGCATGAGTCTTTGGGATAAGCAGAGTGGTGCGGGGCTGGGTCAGAGGGCTCTCTGTGACTCATAGCAGAGCATTACTAGGGTCTCTAGGGCAGGGTGGTAAAGTCTCCTTCTTTCCCAGTACTTGGCTATCCCTAACGAGACTATTGGACGCTATGCCTATGTGCGTGGGGAGTGTAGTGGGAACCAGTCGGCCCTCATGCTGTGCCAGCAGTACTACCGCAAAGGACAGATTGACCCTGCCAATGACACTTTCAACATTGACCCCAAGATCATCACAGGTAAGCAAGCCCCAGGCTGCTCAGTGCTTCTGTGTGCCTGTAGTACAATCAGGCTCTTGTATCTGCAAAAATGAGCCATGGATTAACACCCATGGATGCAGGTACCCAGGGAGAGAAAGCAGATATCTGCAAATTTGCAGCCTTCCAGGTACAAAATTTGTATTTGCGTCTGCACAAATGAGCTGTGGATACCCGCATCTGCAGGTGCAGATAACCTGTGGCTTTAAAGTGGCTATCTGTGGATTAGCAGGGCACAGGTGGATCTCTCTGTGGGTCCCATGAGCTGATGCTGGCTATTGCCCACTCATCCTGGCTTGATGAGTCATGTGGTGCCCAAGCTGCATGACAGCTGAAGAGGTGGCCGCAGGCATTGGCTACATGGCAGAGCTGAGGGTTTTGTTGGTAAGATGGCAATGCCTTGCAAAGCTTGGTCTTGCTGTCTGTGCCCTTTCTCTATCTAGGCTCTTGTCCTACACATCTTGTGGAGGGATCCATGCACCTCAGTGGGGACAGAGTGAGCCCCAGTGATTTATAGCTCCATTGGTGCCTTGCAAGGAGAGTGCACCCAAGACTTTGCTCACGCTAAATCCAAGGTGGGGGATGGTGGGAAGCTCTCCATTGGCAGGTGAGCTCCCTGGAGCCGTGCCCTGGCCTCAGGGATGGGGGGCATTTCTGGGAATGTTTTAAGTAGGCATGGTCTGTTGTACCCAGCCTGTGATGATTGCCCATGGCACAGTGGGGTAGATGCCATGTTAATGTGCTCTGTTAACATGTGAGGGGTTGCTTGGCTTAGACCAGCTTCTAGCTCTTGCTTGAAAAGCAGGCTTAGGTCCTTCTTCTCTGCTCCATCTTGGGGGACTAGTTGTTGCTGTGGCAAGTGGTGCCATTGTATGTGTGTGTATGCACATGTGGGGTGGGGGGAGGGTTTCCTTGCTGGTGGAAGAAGGAACAGCAGGCCCTGTGTGTGGGGGCTGACTGGGCTGGCTCTCTAAGAATATCCTCCCCTTCCTCTGCAGACTGCCTGGGCGTGGACCCCATGGAGAGGATTCCCTGGCCCCCACAGCCTGTGGAGAAGCTCTCCCTGCAGCCCCACCACAGCTACCGGAACTTCACACTCAAGTTTCACAAGTAAGTGCCTTATCTCTCCAGGCACGAGGGGTAGAGAGGCCTGAGTGACTTGAGGTCACTTCTCTTTCCAAGGGAACCACCAGAGGAGTGAGGTTCTGGAACAGTCTCCCAATAGGAGTTGCAGGGGCAAAAACTTGATAAGTTTTGACAGAGAGCTGGACGCGTTTGAATGCAATTGTATCAAGGTTGTTTGTGACAGTGGGAACAGGTCTCAACAGCCCTGGGGGAGGCCTCGCAGTTTGTCTTGTGTCAATAAAGGTCCTTTTCTGGAGGCAATGTCTTCTGACTCTTCACCCTCTTGTGGCCAGAAAGGCCATAACTTTTCAGCTGGGCTGCAACAATTCAGTTCCCCTTCTGGCGTGTCTTAAAGTCCAGGCCTCTTCCTCCAGTGGAAAATGAGGATTGGGTGGGGACCCAGCCCCACCCTTCACTCTGGGTCCCAGTCTAGGGATCCTGTAGATAGCAGCTGCCTGCGATGCCTCTCTAACTGCTTGCTGCTATAATTCTCTGGGTCACTTCCCCATGGCTCCAGCACGTTCTTCACCTTAACTCAGGGCCTTGTTCTGGTGGAGTCCCATCAGCCAGCCCAGAGCACCATCTGCTCTATTCCAGCTCTAGCAAGGAATTACTCTTGCTTTGGCTCTGCAGCTCTTCTTATACTGACCTGCTGGCCCATGATCGGTTGCTTCTCACAAAGTCACTTTAGGCAACTCAGTAGATGACCTCTCTACTGTTCTTTTCTGGGGAGG